CGCACGCACGCACGCACACACACACACACACACACACACACACACACACACACACACACACACACACCCACTGAGACAGAGCACACGCGCACACACACACACACACACAAATACTCACACTTGGACAGGCCACATACACACATACTCATACACACTCAGACAGAGCACACACACACACACACACACACACACACACACACACACACACACACACACACACACACACACACACACACACACACACACACACACACACACACACACACACACACACACACACACACCACACACACACACACACACACACACACACACTCACACTCACTAAGACAGAGCAGATGAAAGAAGCTTTCACTAAATGCATCCGATACAGCAGTGAAGTGAACTCTTAATGTTTACCGCTTTGAACAAATCCTCCTCATGCTCTTTGAAGTCGACGTTAAATGACAGTCGTGAATTCCAAATAGGGTACACCATGTACAAATCATTAAATTACAAAAGAAACATGTTTTGGGATTTCATGGCAAGCACAGCAATGATATGTGAAAAATATCCAGAGGGGAGAATGAGCCGAAGCACCAGCGCTGACCTAATGAGGACAAAACAATAAAAACAGACTGGAAACTGCACCCCACTGAGGGATTGTGTTACTTTGTTCACTAGCAGCCATACAAGGGAAATATCCCAGCAGTTTGATAAGCGTGCACCAAACGGTATCGGTTCAGTTGCACTTCTACTCACCCAATCTTTACATCACAAATTGTGAAAGATAAGGGATAAACGCATGATGTATGCACGAGCAAACATTCTCCTACGTAAGTTTGATGGGTGTACAGATGGAGTGAAGATGTCTCTGTTCAGAGCATATTGCACACCGCTCTAAACGGCACATCTGTGGTCAAACTACAGAAAAGCAAGTTTACGGAAACTTCAAGTAGCTTATAATGATGCCATGAGAATATTGCTGAAGAGACCTCGATGGTCTAGTGCAAGTGAAATGTTTGTGGCTGCAGGAGTCAATACTCTACAAGCTGTTTTAAGAAATCTTATGTATAAATGTATTTGCCGGCTTAATGACTCTGATAATGAAATCCTCTTGGCCTTATCGAACATAAGGTTTAGTACACGCTACCAGTCGCAGCTGTGGAGACATTGGTATAGTTGTCTCTTTGTAGGACACTGATTTAAATTATTCTTAAACTATGAATTATTTGTATGCTGTGTATGTAATTTATTATGTAATGTCTTTTATCTGGACCCTGAGTCTGTAATAAAGTTTCATTCATTCATTCAAACAATATTGGATTATTGCCGATATGATTATATTTTCCAACTCCTTTTGGATGATTGACAATACCTTTACGGATAAACTCGCATATTTGTCCACCCGTGCAGATTACATGAAGTCTCTCCTGAAGTGGAGTTCATGTATTATGTCTATACTAACACACATAAATAAATAATAATGATTCAAATGTACACTTCCACTAAACTAAACGAGAAGAAAACGACTTTAACTTAGGTTACATTTTTTTAAGTAACATATCTGCCTGTTATATCAAAGGAAATGTTCCTTTCTAGCCGATGCTGGTGTTTAATGTTAAGGCTGCTGACGTGCCAATATCAAAGTGAATCCCTAATAAAACACAAACACACTTCCTAATTGTATCTTACGGTTTTTTTTAAGCATGTTAAATAATCTTTATGGGAACCATTGTTCGGGCCTTGACCTTTACCCTCAGTACATGTGGTGACTGTATTGAATTAGATTTAGAGGTAAATGTTGATACAGTAAAGCCAGTGGTTTTAAACTTACTTTATAAGCTCAGAGTCAATTTAAAAACAAAGTGAGTGTTACAGTGAAGGAAGCAGGAGGCACATTATGGTCTGCATGAATATCGGCTGTGCTCAGAGGCGATAGACGCTGAGCCTCTGGGGTTGAAGAGGTTCGGCTGGGCAGCGTGACGGAGTCTGAGTGCTGCGAATGACACTGAGGATACATCTGGGACCTGTTTGCTTAAAGAGCTAACATTTTGCAGAACACAAGTGATGCACGAACAGCGAGCATCTGTTCTGCCGTTTTCTCCTCCTAGAAATTGCCTAAAACACCTTTTTTTCCATCCAAAATAAGTGAAAATCTATCGATCCGCCGTAATTAAAGTTACATTTAAGAATAATTATGTTTAATTGTGTATGCTAGGTCAGTATAGTCTGAGCTGTGTGTCCTCATGGTGCCTTTAGGAATTAGAGGTAGTTGAGTGATCTCCTGAAAGCTGTGACATCCCAAAGGAGTCCTTTCCATCAAACACCTCTAATTTACCGCACAGTCCTTGAGGAATAGTAAATAAACATAACCCTGTGACTGTCTGGTTCACATCTGTCAAATATGAATGCAAATGAACATAGCCTAGATCCCGTTCATGAATGAAAATGATATCACGCTTGTCACTTCTTCCAGACTTGATTAACGGTTTTCGTGCCAAACAAATGGAAGTGATTTGTAGTCAGAACACACACAAAAACATCCACAAATCCCCCCCGAGCGGCTCCCATTCACAAGTCGTAACTGAATTCCATGTTTTCATCGTATGTTCAAAGAGGGCCAAAAGTTGAGGACAATAAATTCTGAGAGAGATGATGATGAAATGATGGTGTAACCCTCACTAACGTGCCATACGTGCACTTGGCATGCAAGCGTCAACTTTTTCCTGACTTCCCGCCTAGACAACATTCAGACAATGATCATTTGGGCATCAATTGATGGACAGCCTTGTCTCGCAGCAGAAAATTATATTAAATGTATCAAACAATCAGAAGACGAGGTAATGTAAAGTTGAACAGCTTTCCTGTTAAATATTAGGAGTGTTTTGCTGCATATTTAACACAATTATTATTAACTAAAATGGCACCTAATAGTAGAGACAACAGGTGAATACAGAACTGCTCTCATGAGCAGCACCTTGGATCATGAAGCGCAAACAGGCGACCCTCAGTGGACCAATTAATCCAGACGGATAGAGAAGTCAGCGTTTTCCTGGGAGACCTTCCAACTTCACCAGCTCCTACTATCTCAATCTGGTCTCCATTACAACCACATTTATCTAGATTGCATCAGGTTGCCCTTCTACAAATCTCTCAACGCTCCCATCATATGATAGTTAACACACGGTGGGCATTTTGCTGAATAGCTCCTGCTGTCCCTCTGAATGACTCGGATTAACGCAGTCCTACACCAGAACGTTACTTTCAATTTGCATGCAAGTCCATTCAAAGGACCGGTTTCTCTTTGTGTTAAAACAATTCCAATGTAGCCCTTCTGGATAATGTGATTTTGGGCAATTTAATGAAGATGTTCCCAGACTTTCACTCGACACGCAGTCATGCTCAGTGGACAAATCTATTAGAGGCCAGACACTATACTGTCCCATCAATATGCAAATTCAGCAGAGCTGGAAATAAGCCCATTGGTTTTGACAAAATGATATTGTCGCAGAGATGCAACTCAGCAAATGAGATGGAGGAACGAGGAGGGGTGCAGACACAGAGGTGAGGTGGATGTATGGAGGGGGAGAGGGAAGACAAAAAGAGAGACAGGAAAAGAGGGAGGGAGGAAGAGAGAGAGAGAGATGCAAATCCCATGGCAACAGCAACCAGAAAACAAGTCTAAAATAGGGGGCAGTGTCCGCTATTACTATAGCAACAGGAGAAAAGCACATTCACTCAGCTTTGGGATTTGCTGAATGGAGAAAAACAAAGATATAATCCTCACGTAATTAAAATCGACAGTTATTACCACTAAATCAATTTGCTTCTGCCAGCTTTGTCTCACTAAATTAGCCTGGGAAGTAAGGACTCTAAAAAGTAGCCTATAATATAATAACAGTGAATAATAAGGGGATGAATATCTTCTATTATTCAGTTATTCAGTGTAATGGAACATAGCTTATTAAATTAAATCCTATATATATATATATATATAATAAATTAATTAGACCGCATACCTATGAGGACAACGTAGAAGATTATATAGAAGTTATAATATTTCTATATGAATAGACTTCCGAGAAACTCTATATCTTGTGTATAAATAAATGACATTCACTGTCATTTTGTTTGCTCAACTGTATAATCAATCAGACAGACTTCATTATCACAAGCTGTGTGGTAAAACTGTTACACAAAAAGCTTTTCTCAGCTTTAAAAGCTGCAGCACTCATATCCACGCCCGGTTTGTTTACCTGAACCATGTGCACTGTCTGCAGTGCAGAAAAAAAGATCACAACCGAGTGATGCTCTGCCTTGCCTACCACCGACCAATCAAATTTCACATGTAGCCGAATCCAACCAATGACAGAGCGGCGGTCTGAGCAGGAGCAGCCAATCGCTCTGAGCGTAGACCACTGATGCAACGGAGATGCAACAGACTCTAACTGAACAACAAAGTCTGTTGTGAATTAAATAGTACCCCTATCAAAACATTACCACGCCAAATAAAGTACACAAAGTAAGTCTCTGAACTGTACTGGTGTGTGAGAGAGTTGTGGTCACGTAAAGCAAGGCTATCAGCAGTTCAGTAATATAAAGGAGCGGTATACACTGTCAAGCTAGGAAACAAATGTCACTGTCCCTACTTCTCCGTTGTCTCTATAGCAACAACGGGTTATAGGAGGTAAAACAAACGACAACGTGTAACGCGTTACATAATGTGATTACTTTCAGGAGTTACGAAATATACAACGAGTCTGACTTGTTACTTCACGTTCGCTTGGAAAAGTCCCGTTTCATAGAATTATGAGCCAAAATGTGTTCTCTTACTTACTTACTCCTCTTACTAAACGCGTATCTTTTAAGTTTTTAAGCTAGTCTGGGGGACCAACATGCTCTCCATGGACCGTTATCTACTGCACACGGTACTGTTTTGTTTCAGGGCTACTTTTCTATTTACTTTTTACCGGTTATGTTTCTTATTAACTCATCGCAAATGTATAAGCAGCACCACCATGTTGTGGCTGTATTAAAACAAAACTTTAATAAATTGCAAATAATCATCACTCAACCTACTATATTAAATGTAGGCTCTACTTTTGAAAGAAACAGTAACTATTCTTTCGAACGTAGCCGAGCGGAGTTTGTGGGACGTCCTTCGGTGACACGCTGAGGGAGGGGGCGGAGGGATCTGCTCTCAGCAGCACGCTCTCGCTCTGCCTGGTGACGCAGTTGGTTGCTAGGTGTGAATGAACTGATGCTTTCTCAGAATTAAGCAGCTCCTCAGTTTACAGGTCGACCACAACAAAGCAACAACTCGTCCTTTTTTGCGGATATTCCGAGCTAAAAGATGGCTCTTTGAACTCGTGAAGTTTTCGGACCCGTGAAGAAACCGTGCCTTGCTTCAGCAACGCACCTCAAGTGCTCTACCTTTTTTTCTGCAAGAATGGAGTAAGTCAAACTACTCGTTATTGATACAGCTGTGTCAAGTTTGTTTTTGTGTGGTTGTTTGTGTGTTTCCAGAGGTCCGTTATTTCACTGGTTTCTCTGCTTTAAAGATGTTTTTATATTTTAATATATTTATATAGACTATTTGCCTGAATATTTAATGCTTTTTAAGAGCGTTGCATCGAGGTTTAAATCAGTTTTGGGTTATTTTGATAACAGAGCGTGTGAGGATTATTATGTAAATGTATAGCCTTCATCCTATGTTATGTACACTTAAGATACAGTAGCAGATTAACCTACTGCCACTTTCAGATTCACACCTTGCCAAGTTTGCATTTAGATACCACATTATTGTCACCTAAGCTGCTTAGCTGATCAAACATGTGATTATTTAAAAAGGAACATGGGATTTGTAGCAGTTGATCTGCAATAATCCCATGTAATGCTCAGGTTGTCTCTCACTCAAGAGTTACTGTACTATTGAGCTTCTTGACAACAGTTGGGCAGCGTCACTGGGTCCCACGTGCTTTGAGGGCGTCAAGTGCATTTTTCAAAGCTCAAAGGACTCAGCTCTCACTTGTGTATCACTGACTGTCAACTCCAAGGGTTAGTTTTGGAAATAGTTTGTTTTCAATTTTATTATCATTAACATTTTGTTTTGAAGAGTTATTATCCTTATTGCTGAAAACGCCACGATTATTTAATGATGACCTTCAGAGGATTTCTTAATTGTGACACCTCCTTAAAAAGCAGCATCTGAAAAACTTGCTAAGTGCAGCAAGAGTGACATTCCTGATTCCCAGTCGACAATAAGTTGTTGTCTTTTTAGCAGCATGTCTCTGATCCATGTTTCTGTTTACCTTCCAGGTTTCATTATGCACACCCTGCCCTGCTCTCTGTGGCCCATCTGTCAGACGCTGCTTGCTCTCAGCATATGCTTGGACTTGGACTGAATCAAAGCACCATCAGACAATATGATGGCAACATCAGCTCCTGTTTGGAAGACTCTTCGTGTCTACCCGGCAGACCCCCTCGCTCTCTCTCACCCACAGGCTAACCACAGCCAATCACAGGGGTGCAGGGGGGAGGTGTCAGAGGAGACTCAGCACTTAATTGGTGAGTTGCAGCGAGTACGCTTTTTTATATTTTTCCCCGTTCCAGGTGGGATCGGCACTGCAGCACATTCGTCCTTCTCGAACAGTAAGTTAAAAACTAGCTACGCCTAATACGTTGATGAGCTACAACTATACTTTTAAGAAATCTGGCTTTGCATTTACAGATTATGCAGATCAAAAAAACAGCTACCTGCAGTTTGCTATTTTTATAGCGTTTGCACGAACTAGGTTATTTAGCATCTAACGATTGCAATTTTTTCCTCTCCTCGATAGGTGATGGTCTCACTGGCTGGATGACGGAAGAAGTGGATTTCTCCTCGTACCTCCCAAACCCTCCTTCCCCTCCCTCCTCCACCAATGCCTCCCTTCCCCCTTCACCCCTTCAGAATGATATCCAGGTGCCCTCGGACTTGGAGGTCATGACCTCTCTGCTGCAAGAGGAACTGGCCCAACTAGAGGACTACTTCCTGTCTGAACCACTGCCAGAGAAAGGGCCGAGGCTGGGAAAATGGGACAGGGGTCCACTGCCGACGGGTCCTCAGCCGTTCACTCAGCTGCCATACGCATCATACTCCACGTCCAACCAATCGGAATCCAGCCCACTCCTTGTTACCCTGGCAACCGGTGAACTGGACCTGCTGAGCATCTGTGGCGGGCCCATTGGGCGATCCAAAATTCCTAGACACGCCCCGTACAGCTGCAGTCGCCCCACTGGGTGTGTGAGGAAAAGAGTTCCTGACGGGACAAGGTTCCTCGAGGGCTATGATAACAGTTTGTTGAGTTCCAAAGGAAGTAACTCAGGTAACTCGGCCGTGACCCTCACCGGTAGCTACGACTGTGTAGAGGACGAGCAGCTGGTAGGGAAAAGCTACTGTCTGGGTAGTGCAGTCGAGGTCAGAAGATGTGCCGCTCTACCAAAAGACGAGAAAAATTGCTGTTTCAGTCAAGATGTCATAGGTGGTTCCAAGGTTGTCGGCGGTGGATTTGGCTTTGGCGGATCACTTGATGTCCCGCACAAAAAAGAGGATCTGCTGATGTATAGCATGAGGGAGGTCAGCGGAGTCACCGGTAACAATGAGGTGCTGAATAATATCAAAGCTAGTATGGAGGTCACTAAAGCCTCATGGAAGACAGAGAGCAGTGAAGGTTGTTATCTTCCAGCAGCACCGCAGTCAGAGGCCTTTCATAGCTTCTTAGGCAATATCAACGAACAGGTGAAATCAGAGAGTCTACGGATAGGGCAGCATGATTTGCACTGTAATTTCCTGGAGGATCAGGGCCCAGAGTGTCTTTTAATGTCTAGGGAGAGTCTGAACATGGAGTCTCCGTGTCACAGACAAGCATGCAGGCTAAATGAAGAAGACCACTGTGCTTTAAACTACGAAGACGACCTCATTCCAGGTGAAGGCGGCGAGCGCAAACAGAAGAAGAGAGATCAGAACAAAACTGCCGCTCACAGGTACGTTTTCCTTTCTGCGTTACAAAAGACCGTTTTTTAAGATTATTTCACAGGCCGATTCATGTAATCTGTTTTGCTTAACGCAGGTATCGCCAGAGAAAAAGGGTGGAGCTTGATACTTTGGAGGGACAGTTGCATGGCCTTGAAGGGAGGAACCGGGAGCTCCGGGACAAGGCAGAGTCGGTAGAACGTGAAATCCAGTACGTCAAAGACCTGCTGATTGAAGTTTACAAGGCCCGCAGCCAAAGGCTCAAGCAGGACACAACAGCGTAACACCGAGCTCCTGCAAGTATATTTAAAGTGGGCGTAACAGGGAAGATGTGGCGCCTTTTTGTGTCTTTTAAGATTGTCCAGAAATGAATGTTTGAATTTTTTTTAAATGCATGCTTTGCTAACGTGAATGATTTTTGACAGTTAAAACCAACACTTTATCCGATGCATCCATTGCTTTCGCTCTCTCTAATCACTTGAGCCTGCACTGTGGCATTGCAATGCTTTAAATGACAATCAATTAAAAAAGATATTGCACTGCGTGGATCTACTAATTGAAGTACAGTTATTTCTGGGATTTTTTTTTTCATTATGCGGGTTTAATAATTTAACAGCCTTACATTTGAATTGATGTCAGCGATAGAAATTCATATTTTAAATTTACAATAACTGTACTATACTTTTAATAGTTGAGGTTGTTAACCATGTGGTTGGTGTCACTAAGTGAAACTGCATCGCTTCCTTTTTGATTTCATATTTTAAACCAAATACTTTTCTACAATCATGTTCTCGCATCGCTTGTACAGCAAATGTTATTTTAACTGTTTTGAATATTTTAAAATACTCGAATTGGGCTTGAAGATGTATTGACTTTTACAATTGCGGCTAATGTAAAGAAGAGCACAAAATAATTTATTCAACCTTAACTATTGGTTGGCAATTTCAATAAATGTTTTGGACAATTTATTTTATTGACTTAAAGGTAGGGTAGGTAAGAATGGAGAAACCAGCTCGAGTGCGCTAGAATTTGAAAGTAAAGTGTTTCTGAAGTGAATTACCTACCCGACCTTTAAGGTTATACAACCCAACATGTTTTTTGATGTTTTGAGAATGTAATTCCTTTTTTTCCTATTTATTTTACTGAATGTGAAACATTTAGATTTTACCCTGCGTTGTTGGAAACATTATTTCGTCCACTGTATGTACATTTGTATTTTTTTTCCTGATATTTGCATTACTTTAAATGTAACAAATGACTAGTTTTTTTTCCATATGATAAATTTGTGACCAAAAAAGTTGATCAATGACACTGTTAACGGAGGAAACTGAAATGTGATTGTGTTTGTGGGGTATTTGTATAAATGTCTTCTATTGCAAATTATACAATCTACTTTGCAGCTCAGGATATGCAATCTGTCCTCCTGTCAGGATGATCCAGGCAGACTTCCATACTTCATTGTACACGCTAAATATTTCAGTGCTACTGGCGTACAGGTTTTCCTTATGTAAAAAAACATTTGTCTTTGTATAATATTTTAACTAGTGGAGTTTTAGCAGCTTCCCTCGGCATGTTTTTCCATAAACGGAGTAGAAAATGTAGATTTCAGAAGTTGGGGATTGTTTCTCTGAAGTGCTTGTTAAGGCAATAACTTTTATAGGCCTCTGGCTGATCTGCACTAATTTGTAAGAACTTTTGTATGTTCAGGGAGTAGAGTGTGTTACTTTGTCGAAAGTTAGCTCAAAAAGAGTCATTGGGATGTTTGTTCAGGCTTTTGTGTTAGCTTTGGTGTAAGGGAATTGTGTATAAATTATTTTTCAATTTGATTTGTTGCTACGCAAATAAACCTACAATTACTGCCTATATCGTTATATATTTTTGCATTTATTTTAAGACAATCATGGATATGAAAGTTATCTTTTAGAGATTTATTTATCATGTGTATTTTTTGTATTTTTTGGAAAAAAAAAGGCATCTCACTTTGTTCAACCAGTCTGCGGTGTACTATCAACTCCCGATTGTTAAAACCAAAAATGTTATGTTCATTTAATCATATCTGCACATTTCCTTTTTGTGACGTAACGTTTTTTTTCTTCTAAAAGAAATAAAGTGTGGCTCGAAGAAGCGGTCCTTTGTGTTTGTCTTTCTTTTTCTGTCCAATTTGCGAAATTGACTGCATCAACTTGAACCATTTTCATAAATTAAAAGCTCCCGTGTAATTATTTTTTAAACAATTCGAGCCGTTTTAGGATTAAATATAACAGATTAGTTCAAACCTGCAGGCCGGGTGGACGCCGGCACGCGCTGCTGTTTGATCCGACCCCGCGGAGCATTCATATCGACTACATGATTTAAAATAATTCAAAACAGTATTATCATAAGTATTATTTGTATTATTATTATTATCATCTATAGTTTAGTGTTAAGTCTAAGTTGCTGCAAAAAGAAACAGTTACACAAATGTATTCAACGTCTTTCGAAAACTGCCTGCTTGTTAAAGCGATATCCATATTTTACTGTCAGCGGCAGTTCAATACATCAAGACGATTTCATTTAGAAAGAAAGCAATCACTTGAGCCTCCAGCTGCCCGATAACCCGTTTTGCCTTAAATGTCTTGTAATCCTCTGTACGGTCAGGTAAGGAAACACGACACTTTTCTAAATCAAAATCAAATGACGTCCGCAACACATGAACACAACAAACACACACAACTACTTTCGCTTCTATGACAGCAGAGACAATATATATATAATTGACACGTTAAATACCCCAACCATGTCATTGTCATTATTAGATTCCTGAAGATTACTTTTGGTAAATACAGAGGTGGGAGAAGTACTCAGATGTTGTACTTGAGTAAAAGTAGAAGTACCAGAGTGTAGGAATACTCTGTTACAGTACAAGTCCTGCGTTCAAAATGTTACTCAAGTAAAAGTACACAAGTATTAGCATCAAAATATATTTAAAGTACCAAAAGTAAAAGTAGTCATTGTGCAGATTGGTCCATTTCAGAATAATATATATGATGTGTTTTATAATGATTGATCATTAAAGTGTTCTCAAAGCTGGTAAAGGTGCAGCTAGTTTGAATGACTTTGTATACTGCAGGGTAGCTGGTGGATTTACTCCAGGTGGAACTAAAGTCTGATTCAACACTTGATTAGATTTCACATCATTCATCCACATCTGTAAAGTAACTAAAGGTATTCAATAAAAGTAGTGGAGTAGAAGTTCAAAGTAGCATAAAATGGAAATACTCAAGTAAAGTACAAGTATCTCAAATGTGTACTTAAGTAAATATATTCTTGCTGAATTTCTGTGAAATTTCGATAGGCCTACATTTGTTATTTTTCTTACAATGTTTGAACAAACGATATCATTAAATAAAAACATAAAATAAACTATTGTTTTATTTGAACACAATTTCAGCTGTGCCAACAAAGATCTCAATTTATAAAAGTTAGTTTTTTATTCCATCATTTTGATTATTTGTTCACAAAAACACTAGAAAACAACTCTAGGTCTGTATTCCTCTACGACACACAGCAGGAGGAAGACGTATAGTAAGGAAAGGAAGGAGAACATTTAAGTCTGCCCTTATTCCTAGACTGGACTCACTTCCAGCTGTCTGATGAGCTGATGATAGTCACATTGTGGAGGTGCATGTTGTGAAGCCTGAACAAGTTTCTTACTGGCATCCAGGGATCTAAGGACCTTCACAGGGATAGAAAAGAAAGTTACTAACACAAGAATATTTGTATACATGCACAAAGCCATGACAGGTAGAACGCAGGTAATAATAAAAGTAAAACAATTGAATGAAGGAATGAAAGAGAAAATACTGATAGTAATAAAAGGGACATTAAAATAAAAATATTGTGGCTTGTTTTTTCCATAAAGAAACTATACATACTTGTTGCTTTCTTTTAGTAATTAACACGTGTCGATTCCAAATAGGTAATTGTAACCACATTCTTAAAGAGGTAAGAGCCTCATTGTAATGTCATGATCAGAAAACTGACTTTGCTGTCGACATCGTCCCTGCTATAACCTGTTTATGTCTTTACCTGACGTACTGCTTCCTGCTCGCTGTACAGGCACAGGGTTGCAATGGCAGCTTGCCTCACTGCATTATGGGAATCCATGCATGCGGCCCTCAGAAGTAAGCTGCACATGTCTTTCTTCGACAACGAGGAAACAGCGCTGTCACCTTTCACCAGGTTTCCCAGGGCTGCACAACAGTGGCGCCGTGTGAGGGCGTCGCGGTCGTTGATCAGAGGCGCCAACATGGCCGCCGTCCTCCCCGCGTCCTCCATCCACCTGCGCCGCTCCTCATCTTCCACTCCCTGTTCTGCTATAGTACCCAAATCACCCTTACCGAGTTGAAACTTGTGTTCCTTCTCTCTGCCCCTCCCTGAAGTGTCACTGCCCTTTCTATTGGACTCCTTAAACCCTGCCCCCGCTGCAATATACCCCAGCCAGTTCCCCACTGCCCTGCAAGCCATCCTCCGGACAGGCATGCAGGGATCATGAAGACAGTTTATCATGCTTTTGAAAATGTCAGGTTTCAGTGTAGGAGGCCTGAATGGATCCACGTTTCCTATCAGTCTGCAAGCGGCAGCCCTGATCTGGTCACAGGGGTGAGTCAGAGCCTGGTGCAGTGCCGAGGCTTCCAGGTGAAGCTGAATGTGGGCGGGACAACGGGAACAACGGGCCACTAGAGACAACAGAGTCAACAGCTCCACGGCAGAGTCCCACAGTGTGTCTAGCTGCAGCAGGTCAGAGAGCAGAGAGCTGGCAGTTCTGCTCAGCGGAGTCTGACCTGCAGAGAGCTGGATGTCCCTGGGTGGCGCGAAAAAAACACAAGCAGATTTTCCGAGGCGGGAAACAGAGCGCTCGGGGTCACACAGGAGCAAACGGCTCAGCAGGGACAGAGGCAGCTCTAATAGCGGATGAGGAAGAGATTGAATTACCTGCCAGAAAACACAAAAAACAAAATCACCCAGACAACTTGTCACAGATCAAACAGCCGACAACAAACAATATTTTCACCAAAGCACATTAAGATGTGGAGTAGCGTGCGGCTGATGTGAGACTATTGCAGTGTTGCATCAGAGAATTATGTTTTGTGAGGTCTTTATCGGAGCATGGTGAAGGCCCTCACCTGCAGGAGGCTTTCAACAATACCACATCTGTCATAGAGCTGTAGGATTGTGGCCATGGTGTGTGGAGGCGGGTCCAGGGCGAACGGAAAGCACAACAAGTGGCAGCTCAACACCGACAGGCTGTCGTCATGTCTCTCGAGACTGCCTTCAGCAGACAAATGAAGACTGCAGGGTATACGGGATGTGGTTGTTAGCTGCAGGCGTAGTAGCGTTGTAGCTCTAACTTCAGTGGTACAAATAAAAAGGGTAACACTAACCTGTCAGTGCCCAGCAGCAGACCAAGGCTGTACACGCATTTTGATCCACACTCAGAAAGCAGAGGGATGCATGAGTATGGATCCTTGGTGAAGACAAACAGCGCGAGAGAAAGAAAGTCATCCAGCCCTGATGTAAACAAATAAATACAAATGTTTAAAGTGTTTTTTTTGTTATATGATGGGCCAATTAGAGGCATATATTTACCATGTGTTGAACAGAACCCAGTGTCTGGTGTTGTCTTAGCTAGTGAGCTTCCAATCTTTTTCCATAAATCCAGAAACAGTACTGGATCTAAACATGAAGGCCCAGAGCTATTATCATGCTGTTAAAAGAAAAGAACAGGCAAATCTCAGATCAAGAATTCCAGGTCTATCAAATTGTTTTCATCACATAGTAGTAGTTGTCTGACCTCAGTGAGTGTATCTAAGAGTAAAGACAGGAGGCCATCACAGAATCCCCAGCCAGAAGGGAGAGGAGGTTGGGGCTGACGAGACACAGGAGACAATGATGGACCATTTTAAAACTTGCATTAAAAAAAACGGCCACATTTCTTCTCACGGGTTTAGTACCTCAAATGAGTCCAAAAGCAGATTTTTCAGCAGAGATGTTAGGTTATCCATATCAACTTTGACATCAACTTCGTGTTGCGTAAACAGAGACAAAACAGAGGCAGCCAGCGTCTAAGAAAGAGATCACAAAATCAACAGTGTCACACTCACTAAAGCACCCTAACCCTAACCCTATATACACTGACTTCAATACTTACTGCCAAAGGAAGGAGGTTTGGTTGACTGAGAATTGTGATGAAAGGCGTGGTGAGGTCTTCCAGTCTACAGTAAGAGAACAGTCGATGAGATTCTGACTGATGTATGCTAGTTACTTTTATATTTTTTTATACATACCGTTAATAACTGTAATATATACCTGGCTGCTAAATCCTTAGAACTGTTACAAGGTGTGTATTTTGTATTTTGTAAATGGTGTAACTTGCTGCTGTTAAAGACCAACCACCTATGTGCAATATGTGCTAGATGTGCAATATATATAGATGCCGTTAATAACTGTGTAATATATACCTGGCTGCTAAATCCGTAGAACTGTTACAGGATGTGTATTTTTTTTTTAAATTATGTAACTTTTTATTATATCATAACTTAGTACTTTTTTTGAATGCATGTCACATATTTAACATATGTAACATTAAGCTGTCTGTGGCTCTTTTTCCTGCTGTAACGACACAAATGTCCCCTCTGTGGGACTAATAAAGGTATTCTGATTCTGCTGACATAGAGCATTTCAGAATAATCAAACCTGTGCTCTCCTTCCACCCAGTCACAGTGCTGCTCCCAGTAGATCATGAGCGTAATAATCATTTCTCCAATTGCTGGCACACTCCATGTTTGCTGAGCAGGGGGAAAAGTAGGAAAGAGTCAGAAGAACTGTTGTAGGAATAATGCTTTGTTGAATATAGTTCCATTTCCATGCATTAACCTTTAAGAAATGTGTGTTTTCTACAGCATCATGGATTAGCTCAAAGAGGACGTGGGGTAGACCAAGTTCCTGCCCAATGTGGGACAACTCCTCCAGTTCATATGTCGATATCAGGTTTCGTAAGACCTTCAGCGGGAGGTGAGTCTGCCACGCTTCTTTGATAACGCCACCTGTTAGCTGTCCAAACAAAAGAGGCTTTATTCAAAATTGTTCCA